GTTAAGGTGGGAGAATACCTGTGTCTCGACTCACAGGTTAAGGTGGGAGAGTACCTGTTTCTCGACTCAAAGGTTAAGGTGGGAGAGTACCTGTGTCTCGACTCACAGGTTTTAAGTGGGAGAGTACATGTGTCTCGACTCACAGGTTAAGGTGGGAGAGTACCTGTGTCTCGACTCACAGTTAAAGGGGGGAGAGACCTGTGTCTCGACTCAAGGTTAAGGTGGAAAAGTACCTGTGTCTCGACTCAATTAAAATGGGAGAGTACCTGTGTCTCGACTCACAGGTTAAAGGGGGGAGAGTACCGTGTCTCGATCACATGTTAAGGTGGGAGAGTACCTGTGTCTCGACTCACAGGTTAAGGTGGGGAAGTACCCTGTGTCTCCGACTCACAGGTTAAGGTGGGAAAAGAACCCGTGTCTCGACTCACAGTTAAGGTGGGAGTACCTGTTCTCGACCACGGTTAAGGTGGAAGAATACCTGTGTCTCGACTCAAAGGTTAAAGTGGGAAGTACTGTGTCTCGACTCCACAGAGTTTTAAGGTGGAGAGATACCTGTGTCTCGACTCACAGGTTAAGGTGGAGAGTACTGTGTCTCGACTCACAGGTTTTAAGGTGGGAGAGTACTGTTTTCTCGACTCACAGGTTAAGGTGGGAGAGTACCTGTGTCTCGACTCAAAGGTTAAGGTGGAGAGTACCTGTGTCTCGATCACAGGTTAAGGTGGGAGAGTACCTGTGTCTCGACTCACAGGTTAAGGTGGGAGAGTACCTGTGTCTCGATCACAGGTTAAGGTGGGAGAGTACATGTGTCTGACTCACAGGTTAAGGTGGGAGAGTACCTGTTTTCTCGACTCACAGGTTAAGGTGGGAGAGTACCTGTGTTCGACTACAGGTTTGGTGGGAGAGTACCTGTGTCTCGACACAGGTTAAGGTGGAGATACCTGTGTTCGACTTACAGGTTAAGGTGGGAGAGTACCTGTTTCTCGACTCACAGATTAAAGTGGGAGAGTACCTGTGTCTCGACTCACAGGTTAAGGTGGGAGAGTACTTTTGTCTCGACTCACAGGGTTTAAAGGGGGGAGAGTACCTGTGTCTCGACTCACAGGTTAAGGTGGGAGAGTACCGTGTTCGGGCTCACAGTTTAAGGTGGGAGAGTACCTGTGTCTCGACTCACAGGTTAAGGTGGGAGGAGTACCTGTGTCTCGACTCACAGGTTAAGGTGGGAGAGTACATGTGTTTTCGACTCACAGGTTAAGGTGGGAGAGTACCTGTGTCTCGACTCACAGGTTAAGGTGGGAGAGTACATGTGTCTCGACTCACAGGTTAAGGTGGGAGAGTACCTGTGTCTCGACTCACAGGTTAAGGTGGGAGAGTACCTGTGTATCGACTTACAGGTTAAGGTGGGAGAGTACCTGTTTCTCGACTCACAGATTAAGGTGGGAGAGTACCTGTGTCTCGACTCACAGGTTAAGGTGGGAGAGTACCTGTGTCTCGACTCACAGGTTAAGGTGGGAGAGTACCCGTGTCTCGAAATCACAGGTTAAGGTGGGAGAGTAATGTGTTTCGACTCACATGTTAAGGTGGGAAGAACCTGTGTCTCGACTCACAGGTTTAAAGGGGGGAGAATACTGTTTTCTCGACTCACAGGTTAAGGTGGGAGAGTTTCCTGTGTTCGACTACAGGTTAAGGTGGGAGAGTACCTGTGTCTCGACTCAAGTTAAGGTGGGAGAGAACCTGTGTCTCGACTCACAGGTTAAGGTGGGAGATACCTGTGTCTCGACTCACAGGTTAAGGTGGGAGAGTACCTGTGTCTCGACTCACAGATTAAGGTGGGAGAGTACCTGTGTCTCGACTCACAGTTAAGGTGGGAGAGTACCTGTGTCTCGACTCACAGGTTAAGGTGGGAGAGTACCTGTGTCTCAACTCACAGGTTAAGGTGGGAGAGAACCTGTGTCTCGACTCACATGTTAAGGTGGGAGAGAACCTGTGTCTCGACTCACAGGTTAAGGTGGGAGAATACCTGTGTCTCGACTCACAAGTTAAGGTGGGAGAGTACCTGTTTCTCGACTCATATGTTAAGGTGGGAGAGTACCTGTGTCTCGACTCACAGGTTAAGGTGGGAGAGTACATGTGTCTCGACTCACAGGTTAAGGTGGGAGAGAACCTGTGTCTCGACTCACAGATTAAGGTGGGAGAGTACCTGTGTCTCGACTCATATGTTAAGGTGGAAGAGTACCTGTGTCTCGACTCACAGATTAAAGTGGGAGAGTACCTGTGTCTCGACTCACAGGTTAAGGTGGGAGAGTACCTGTGTCTCGACTCACATGTTAAGGTGGGAGAGTACCTGTGTCTCGACTCACAGGGTTAAGGTGGGAGGGGTACCTGTGTCTCGACTCACAGGTTAAAGGTGGGAGAGAACCTGTGTCCCCGACTCACAGGTTAAGGTGGGAGAGTACCTGTTCTCGACTCAAGGTTAAGGTGGAGAGTAAACCCGTGTCTCGACTCACAGGTTAAAAGGGGGAAATACATGTGTCTCGACACAAGGTAAGGGGGGAGAGTACCTGTGTCTCGACTCACATGTTAAGGTGGGAGAGAAACCCGTGTCTCGACTCACATGTTAGGTGGAAGAGAACCTGTGTCTCGACTCACAGGTTAAGGTGGGAGAATACCTGTGTCTCGACTCACAAGTTAAGGTGGGAGAGTACCTGTTCTCGACTCCCAAGTTAAGGTGGGAGAGTACCTGTTGGTCGACTCACAGGTTAAGGTGGGAGAGTACTGTGTCTCGACTCACAGGTTAAGGTGGGTGGAGTACCTGTGTTCGCTCACAGATTAAGGGGGAGACTGTGTCTGCTAATGTTTGGGGAAGAGTACCTGTGTCTCGACTCACAGTTAAAGGTGGGAGAGTACCTTTGGGCTCGATCACAGGTTAAGGTGGAGAGAGTACCTGTGTCTCGACTCACAGGTTAAGGTGGGAGAGTACCTGTGTCTCGACTCACAGGTTAAGGTGGGAGAGTACCTGTGTCTCGACTCACAGTTAAGGTGGGAGAGTACCTGTCTCGACTCACAGGGTTAAGGTGGGAGAGTAAACCCGTGGGCTCGACTCACAGGTTAAGGTGGGAGTACTGTTCTACCTCACAGGTTAAGGTGGAGAGTACCTGTTCTCGACTCACAGGATTAAGGTGGGAGAGTACCTGTGTCTCGACTCACAGGTTAAGGTGGGAGAGAACCTGTGTCTCGACTCACATATAAAGTGGAGGTACCTGTGTTTCGACTCACAGGTTTAAAGGGGGGAGAGTACCTGTGATCTCGACTCACAGGGGTTTTTAAAGGGGGGAGAGTACCTGTGTCTCGACTCACAGGTTAAAGGGGGGAGAGCACTGTGTCTCGACTCACAGGTTAAGGTGGGAGAGTACCTGTGTCTCGACTCACAGGGTTTAAAGGGGGGGAGTACCTGTGTCTCGACTCACAGGTAAGGTGGGAGGTACCTGTGTCTCGACTCACAGGTTAAGGTGGGAGAGTACCTGTGTCTCGACTCACAGGTTAAGGTGGGAGAGTACATGTGTCTCGACTCACAGGTTAAGGTGGGAGAGTACCCGTGTCTCGACTCACAGGTTAAAGGTGGGAGGTACCTGTGTCTCGACTTTACAGGTAAAAGGGGGGAGAGTACCTGTTTCTCGACTCACAATTTTAAAATGGGAGAGTACCTGTGTCTCGACTCACAGGTTAAGGTGGGAGAGTACCTGTGTCTCGACTCACAGGTTAAGGTGGGAGAGTACCTGTGTCTTGACTCACAGTTAAAGGGGGGAGGTACCTGTGTTCGACTCACAGGTTTTAAAGGGGGGAGAGTACCTGTGTCTCGACTCACAGGTTTTAAAGGGGGGAGAGTACCCGTGTCTCAAATCACAGGTTAAGGTGGGAGAGTACAATGTGTCTCGACTCACAGGTTAAGGTGGGAGAGTACCTGTGTCTCGACTCACAGGTTTAAGGTGGGAGAGTACCTGTGTCTCGACTCACAAAGGTTAAGGTGGGAGAGTACCTGTGTCTCGACTCACAGGTTAGGGGGGGAGAGTACCGTGTCTCGACTCACAGGTTAAGGTGGGAGTACTGTGTCTCGACTCACAGGTTAAGGTGGGAGAGTACCTGTGTCTCGACTCACAGGTTAAGGTGGGAGAGTACCTGTGTTCGACTCACAGGGTTTAAAGGGGGGAGAGTACCTGTTCTCGACTCACAGGTTAAAGGGGGGAGAGTACCTGTGTCTCGACTCACAGGTTAAGGTGGGAGAGTACCTGTGTCTCGACTCACAGGTTAAGGTGGGAGAGTACCTGTGTCTCGACTCACAGGTTAAGGTGGGAGAGTACCTGTGTTTCGACTCACATGTTAAGGTGGGAGAGAAACCCGTGTCCCCGATCACAGGTTAAGGTGGGAGTACCTGTGTCTCGACTCACAGGTTAAGGTGGGAGAGTACCCGTGTCTCGACTTTACAGGTTAAGGTGGGAGAGTACCTGTGTCTCGACTCACAGGTTAAGGTGGGAGAGTACCTGTGTCTCGACTCACAGGTTAAGGTGGGAGAGTACCTGTGTCTCGACTCACAGGTTAAGGTGGGAGAGTACCTGTGTCTCGACTCACAGTTAAGGTGGGAGAGTAACCTGTGTCTCGACTCACAAATTTTAAAGTGGGAGAGTACCCGTGTCTCGACTCACAGGTTAAGGTGGGGAGAGTACCCCGTGTCTCCAATCACAGGTTAAGGTGGGAGAGAAACCCGTTCTCGACTCACAGGTTAAAGGGGGGAGAGTACCCGTGTCTCGACTCACAGGGTTTAAAGGGGGGAAGAGGGGTAACTGTGTCTCGACTCACAGTTAAAGGTGGGAGGAACCTGTGTCTCGATCACAGGTTAAGGTGGGAGATACCTGTGTCTCGACTACAGGTTTGGGAGACTTTTCTGACTCAAGTTAAGGTGGGAGAGTACCTGTGTCTCGACTCACAGGTTAAGGGGGGAGGTACCTGTGTCTCGACTCACAGGTTAAGGTGGGAGAGTACCTGTGTCTCGACTCACAGATTAAGGTGGGAGAGTACCTGTGTCTCGACTCATAGGTTAAGGTGGAAGAGTACCTGTGTCTCGACTCACAGATTAAAGTGGGAGAGAACCTGTGTTCGACTCACAGGTTTTAAGGTGGGAGAGTACCCGTGTCTCGACTCACAGTTAAGGGGGGAGAGTACCTGTGTCTCGACTCACAGGTTAAGGGGGGAAGTACTGTGTCTCGACTCACAGGTTAAGGTGGGAGAGAAACCCGTGTCTCGACTAAAAGGTTAAGGTGGGAGAATACCTGTATCTGACTCACAGGTTAAGGTGGGAAGAATACCTGTGTCTCGACTCACAGGTTAAAGGTGGGGAGTACCGAGTGTCTCGACTCACAGGTTAAGGTGGGAGAGTACCTGTGTCTCGACTCACAGGTTAAGGTGGGAGAGTACCTGTGTCTCGACTCACAGGTTAAGGTGGGAGAGTACCTGTGTCTCGACTCACAGGTTAAGGTGGGAGAGTACCTGTGTCTCGACTCACAGGTTAAGGTGGGAGAGTACCTGTGTCTCGACTCACAGGTTAAGGTGGGGGAGGGACCTGTGTCTCGACTCACAGGTAGGTGGGAGAGTACCTGTGTCTCGACTCACAGGTTAAGGTGGGAGAGTACATGTGTCTCGACTTTACAGGTTAAGGGGGGGAGAGTACCCGTGTCTCGACTCACAGGTTAAGGTGGGGGAGTACCTGTGTCTCGACTCACAGGTTTTAAAGGGGGGAGAGTACCTGTGTCTCGACTCACAGGTTAAGGTGGGAGAGTACCTGTGTATCGACTTACAGGTTAAGGTGGGAGAGTACCTGTTTCTCGACTCACAGATTAAAGTGGGAGAGTACTGTGTCTCGACTCACAGGTTAAGGTGGGAGAGTACCTGTGTCTCGACTCACAGGTTAAGGTGGGAGAGAAACCCGTGTCTTGACTCACAGTTAAAGTGGGAGGTTGTACTGTGTTTTCGACTCACAGGTTAAGGTGGGAGAGTACCTGTGTCTCGACTCACAGGTTAAGGTGGGAGAGTACCTGTGTCTCGACTCACAGGTTAAGGTGGGAGAGTACCTGTGTCTGACTCACAGGGTTTAAAGGGGGGAGAGTACCTGTGTCTCGACTCACAGGTTAAGGTGGGGGAGTACCTGGGGTCTCGACTCACAAAGGTTAAGGTGGGAGAGTACATGTGTCTCGACTCACAGGTTAAGGTGGGAGAGTACCTGTTCTTTGACTTTACAGATTAAGGTGGGGAGTACCTGTGTCTCGATCACAGGTTAAGGTGGAGAGTACCTGTGTCTCGACTCACAGGTTAAGGTGGGGAGTACCTGTGTTCGAACTTACAGGTTAAGGTGGGAGATACTGTGTTCTCGACTCACATTAAAGGGGGGAGAGAACCCGGGGTCTCGCTCACAGGTTAAGGTGGAGAATACCTGTTTTCTCGACTCACAGGGTTTAAAGGGGGGAGAGTACCCGTGTCTCGACTCACAGGTTAAGGTGGAGAGTAAAGTGTTTCGACTCACAGTTAAGGTGGGAGAGACTGTGTCTCGATCAAGGTTAAGGTGGGAGATACCCGTGTCTCGACTCACAGGTTAAGGTGGGAGAGTACCTGTGTCTCGATCACAGGTTAAGGTGGGAGAGTACCTGTGTCTCGACTCACAGGTTAAAGGGGGGAGAGTACCTGTGTCTCGACTCACAGGTTAAGGTGGGAAAAGTTTCCTGTGTCTCGACTCACAGGTTAAGGTGGGAGAGTACCCGTGTCTCGACTCACAGTTAAGGTGGAGAGTACCTGTGTCTCGACTCACAGGTTAAGGGGGGAGAGTACCTGTGTCTCGACTCACAGGTAAGGTGGGGGGAGTACCTGTTCTCAAATCAAGGTTAAGGTGGGAGAGAACCTGTGTCTCGACTCACAGGGTTTAAGGGGGGAGAGAACTGTGTCTCGACTCACAGGTTAAGGTGGAGAGTACCTGTGTCTCGACTCACAAGTTAAGGTGGGAGAGTACCTGTTTCTCGACTCATATGTTAAGGTGGGAGAGTACCTGTGTCTCGACTCACAGGTTAAGGTGGGAGAGTACATGTGTCTCGACTCACAGGTTAAGGTGGGAGAGTACCTGTGTCTCGACTCACTAGTTAAGGTGGGGAGAGTACCTGTGTCTCGACTCAATTTAAGGTGGGAGAGTACTGTTTCTTCCCACTCACAGGTTAAAGTGGGGAGAGTACCTGTGTCCCCGACTCACAGGTTAAGGTTGGGAGGACCGTGTTCGACTCACATGTTAAGGGGAAGAGTACCTGTGTCTCGACTCACAGATTAAAGTGGGAGAGTACCTGTGTCTCGACTCACAGGTTAAGGTGGGAGAGTACCTGTGTCTCGACTCACAGGTTAAGGTGGGAGAATACCTGTTCTCGACTCACAGGTTAAGGTGGAGAGTACCTGTGTCTCGACTCACAGGTTAAGGGGGGAAGTAACTGTGTCTCGACTCACAGGTTAAGGTGGGAGAGTACCTGTTCTCGATCACATGTTAAGGTGGGAGAGAACTGTGTCTCGACTCACAGTTTAAGTGGGAGAGAACTGTGTCTCGACTCACAGGTTAAGGTGGGGAATACCTGTGTCTCGATCACAAGTTAAGGTGGGAGAGTACCCGTTTCTCGACTCATAGTTAAGGTGGGAGAGTACCTGTGTCTCGACTCACAGGTAAGGTGGGAGAGTAATGGTCCCTAAGGTTAGTGGGAGAGTACCTGTGTTCGACTCACAGGTTAAGGTGGGAGAGTACCTGTGTCTGACTCAATGTTAGGGGAGGGGTACCTGTGTCTCGACTCACAGGTTAAAGTGGGGAGAGTACCTGTGTCTCGACTCACAGGTTAAAGGGGGGAGAGAAAATGTGTCTCGACTCACAGTTAAAGGGGGGAGATACCTGTGTCTCGATCACAGGTTAAGGTGGAGAAGTACCTGTGTCTCGACTCACAGGTTAAGGTGGGAGAGACCTGTGTCTCGACTCAAGGTTAAGGTGGGGAGAATACCTGTTCTCGACTCAAAAGGTTAAGGTGGGAAAAGTACCTGTGTCTCGACTCACAGGTTAAAGGTGGGAAGTACTGTGTCTCGACTCACAGGTTAAGGGGGAGAGTACTGTGTTCGACTCACAGGTTAAGGTGGGAGAGTAAACCCGTGTTCCGGACTACAGGTTTTAAAGGGGGGAGAGTACCTGTTTCTCGACTCACAGGTTAAAGGGGGGAGGTAAACCCGTGTCTCGACTCACAGGTTAAGGTGGGAGAGTCCTGTGTTCGACTTACAGGTTAAGGTGGGAGAGTACCCGTTTGTCGACTCACAGATTAAAGTGGAGAGTCTGTGCTCGACTCACAGGTTAAGGTGGGAGAGTACCTGTTTTCTCGACTCACAGGGTTTAAAGGGGGGAGAGAACCTGTGTCTTGACTCACAGGTTAAATGGGGAGTGTACCTGTGCTCGACTCACAGGTTTTAAAGGGGGGAGAGTACCTGTGTCTCGACTCACAGGTTAAGGTGGGAGAGTACCTGTGTCTCGACTCACAGGTTAAGGTGGGAGAGTACATGTGTCTCGACTCACAGGTTAAGGTGGGAGAGTACCTGTGTTCGACTCACAGGTTAAGGTGGGAGAGTACCGGTGTCTCGATCACAGGTTAAGGGGGGAGAGTATGTGTCTCGACTCACAGTTAAGGTGGGAGAACCTGTGTACGTTAGGTTAAGGTGGGAGAGTACCCGTTTCTCGACTCACAGGTTAAAGGGGGGAGAGTACCTGTGTCTCGACTCAAGGTTAAGGTGGGAGAGTACCTGTGTCTCGACTCACAGGTTAAGGTGGGAGAGTACCTGTGTCTCGACTCACAGGTTAAGGTGGGAGAGTACCTGTGTCTCGATCAAGGTTTAAAGGGGGGAGATACCTGTGTCTCGACTCACAGTTAAGGTGGGAGAGTACCTGTGTCTCGACTCACAGGTTAAGGTGGGAGAATACCTTTGGTCTCGACTCACAGGTTAAGGTGGAGAGTACCTGTGTCTCGATCACAGATTAAGGTGGGAGGTACCTGTGTCTCGATCAAGGTTAAGGTGGGAGAGAACCTGTGTCTGACTCACAGATTAAAATGTGGGTACCTGTGTTTCGCCACAGGTTAAGGTGGGAGAGTACCTTGTCTCGACTCACAGTTAAGGGGGAGATACCTGGGGGGTTGTACCTTTTGCTCACAGGTTAAGGTGGGAGAGACTGTGTCTCGACTCACAGTTAAGGTGGGGGAGTACCTGTGTCTCGACTCACAGGGTTTAAAGGGGGGAGAGTACCTGGTCTCGACTCAATTAGGTGGAGAGGTACCTGTGTCGACTACAGGTTAGGTGGGAGAGTACCTGTGTCTCGACTCACAGGTTAAGGTGGGAGAGTACATGTGTCTCGACTCACAGGTTAAGGTGGGAGAGTACCTGTGTCTCGACTCACAGGTTAAGGTGGGAGAGTACCTGTGTCTCGACTACAGGTAAGGTGGGAGAGTACCCGTTTCTCGACTAAGATTAAAAATGGGAGAGTACATTGTCTTTGACTCAACAGGTTAAAGTGGGAGAGTACCCGTGTCTACTCAAGTTAAGGTGGGAGAGACCTGTGTCTGACTCACAGATTAAAGTGGGGGTACCTTTTTCTCGACCACAGGTTAAAAGGGGGGAGAAGACCTTTTTCTCGAACTCACATTAAGGTGGGAGAATACCTGTGTCTCAACTACAGGTTTAAGTGGGAGAAGTACTTTCTGCCAGTTAAGGTGGGAGATACTGGTTTCACTAATTAAAAACCTTTACTACAAATTGGGAAATACTTTTACCCAAATTTTGGTGGGAATACATTTAATCAGATAAGGTTGGGGGGTTTCTTCACCACAGTAAAGGTTTAGAATACCCTTTGGGTCAGGTTAAACGGGAATATGGTTTGACTTAAACCCCGGTTAAAGGTAAAAGGGAAGTACTCACGGTTAATTTTGGGGTCCTTAGGTGGAACTTCAAAAGTTAAATTGGGCCTCCGACCCAGGTTAAGGGGAGAATCCTGTGTCTCGACTCACAGGTTAAGGTGGGAGAAGTACCTGTTCTCGACTCAAGTTAAGGTGGGGGAGTAAACCCCTTGTCTCGACTCACAGGTTAATAAAATTGTTTACAAGTTTTAAGTGGGGTACTGTTGGTACAGTTTGGGGATCTTAGTTATTTTCCGAATTTTTAAGTGGAAGGGTTTACAGGGGGAGAGTCCTGTGTCCGCTCAGGGTTTGGTGGAAAATTGTGTCACTTAAATTAAGGTGGGTTCCGGTTGACCAGTTAAGGTGGGATGTTTAAAGAAGGGAAACTGGCTGACAATTTTGGGGAAATTTTGTTACGAGGGTTCTTTTATACAGTTAGTGGGAGAATTCTACTTCAAGGTAGGGGAATTTGTTGCAAAAAGAGGGACTCAATGGGGAAGACTTGTTGACCGGTTAAGGTGGAGAGGTTGAGTTAAATTAGGTTTGGGACAGGGTTTTCGGAGGGGGGGGACGTGTTTGATCAGTTAAGGTGGGGGTTTACTGGTTAAGGTGGGGTGGGGATACGGTCGAAGGTTAAGGTGGAGACCGTCGATGGTTAAAGGTGGGAGTCTTTCCCACAAAGGGTTAAAGGGGGGAGAGGCCTGGCCGACTCCGTAAAGGGGGGAGAGTACCTGTTAGGAAAGATTTAAAGGGGAGGTTGGTGGTCCGGTTTCGACAAGTTAAGGTGGGAAGACCGGTGTCTCGGGCTCAATTTAAGGGAGGTATCTGTCTCGATCACTAGGTGGGAGGATTCTCCGACTCACAGGTGGGGGAGATAACCTGTGTTCCCACTTTAAGGTAAGAGACGATGTCCGCAAATTAAGGTGGGGAGACGTGTCTCGACTCACGGTTAAGGGGGAGAGGTACCTGTTCTGACTAAGGTTTGGGGGATTACTGTTTAATGGAAGGTTGGGAGAATACCCTGGACACCGTTTGGAAGGTTGGGTGGCCCGTCCGTCCAGGGTTAAGGGGGGGTACCTGTTCTGACTTAAAGGGTTTAAGGTGGGGGACCTTTCTCACTGGGTTAAGTGAGAGTACCGTTCCGTCCGGTTAAGGTGGGAGAACCTGGTCTCGAACCCCAGGTTAAGGTGGGAGAATTTGTCTGACTCACGGTTAAGGGGAGGTACCTGTGTCTCGACTCCATTAAAGGGGGGAGATCTGGGACTCGGGAAGGTTAAGGGGGAGACCTGTGTCCTTTTTAATAGAAGTTTTTACAAGTTAAAATGGGAGAGTACATGGTTCACTTTAAGTTTTTTAAGGGGGGGTTTCTTCCCCTTAAAGGGGGGAGGTACCTGTGTCTCGACTCACAGGTTAAGGGGGGAGAGTACCTGTGTCCATCACAGTTAAAGGTTGGGGGAGAGTCTGTGTCTACTCAAGTTTAAAAGGGGGGTACCTGGTTGACACGGTTAAGGTGGGAGAGTACCTGTGTCTCGAATCACAGGTTAAGGTGGGAGGCTGTGTCCGATCCAGTTTAGTGGGGGATACTGGCTCGGCTACAGGTTAAGGTGGGGAGCGGTCTCGAAAGGTTAAGGTGGGGGAGTCCTGTGTCTCGACTACAGGTTAAGGGGGAGAGTTCCTGTGCTCGACTCACAGGTTTAAAGGGGGGGAGAGTACTGTCATATTTAAGGTGGGGGAGTAGGTTGACCGTTTCTGAATACGTTTAGTCAGGTTAATGGTTGGTGAAATTCAGTTGGTGGGTTCGTTGTCGGAAGGGGAAGCTTGTCCGGACTCCGTTAAGGGAGGTGGTGTCGAAATAAGGTAAGGTGGGGACCGGTTCGATCACTTAAGGGGGGAAATATGTGGATCACGGGTTAAGTGGGGGAAAGGGCTGATAAGTTAAATGGGGGAGAGTGGTTTGGGAAGGGAAGAGTACCTTTGTTTGAAGGTTAGGGGGAGGTGAATGGCGACTTTTAATTTAAAGGGGGGAAAATTTTGCTCCACAGGTTATGGTGGGGATACCTGTGTTCCCTTTAAAGGTGGGAGGGACCTGTGTTACCTCAATTTAAATGGGAAGTCGTTTTCACTCCATAAGGGGGAGAGACCTGTGTCTCAACACTTTAAGGTGGGGAGAGGACCTGTCCCAGGTTAAGTGGGAGAGTCGGTCTCTACAGGTTAGGGAGGTTGGAGCTAGGTTTGAAACCTTGTTGGCGAAATGGTGGGGAGTCGGTTGGCTAGGGTGGGAGAGTGTCTCGCACAGGTTAAGGGTGGGAAACCGTGGGGGCTTGTCACGTTGTTGGAAGGGGTTTTTGGTTGTAGGTTGGGGAAACGTGTTGGGGCCAGGGTTTAAAGGGGGAGGTGGTCGGTCACTTTAGGGGGGAGAAGGTTGGTCGGTTAAGGGGGGTACCTGTGTCTCGACTCAGGTTAAGGGGGGAAGGGACTGGTCTCGACCAGGTTAAGTGGGAGGAGAGGGTGACCAGGTTAGTGGGGTACCGTTAAAGTGAGTAAGGTTGGGGAGTCAGTTCTGCTGATAAAGTTTCCCCTTTTGAACCCGGTTAAAGGGGGGGTACTTTTGTCCAGGTTTAAGTGAAAGGTTGCACAGGTTAAGGGGATCCGGGCTGATAGGTATGGGTACGGTCTAATTGTAGGTGGAAGGTACCTGTTTTTGGTTAAGGTAATCGGTTCCGGTAAGTTGTGGGAGAACCTGTCTCGACTCAAGAGTGGGAAACCGGGGCTCGACTGGTTGGGGGGACCTGTTGACTTTCCCGTTAAGTGGAGGTACTGTGTTCGAAAGAGGTGGTGGGAGTTTGTTCCGACTCCAGGTTAAAGGGGGGAGAACCTGTGTCTCGACTCACAGGTTAAGGTGGGAGAGTACCTGTGTCTCGACTCACAGGTTAAGGTGGAAGAGTACCTGTGTCTCGACTCACAGGTTAAAGTGGGACAGTACATGTGTCTCGACTCACAGGTTAAGGTGGGAGAGTACCTGTGTCTCGACTCACAGGTTAAGGTGGGAGAGTACCTGTGTCTCGACTCACAGGTTAACGTGGGAGAGTACCTGTGTCTCGACTCAAAGGTTAAGGTGGGAGAGTACCTGTGTCTCGACTCACAGGTTAAGGTAGGAGAGTACCTGTGTCTCGACTCACAGGTTAAGGTGAGAGAGCACCTGTTTCTCCACTCACAGGTTAAGGTGAGAGAGTACCTGTGTCTCGACTCACAGGTTAAGGTGGGAGAGTACCTGTGTCTCGACTCACTGGTTGATGTATAAGAACACGACTTAACTCGCTGGTTGAGGTATAAGAACACGACTTAACTCGCTGGTTGAGGTATAAGAACACGACTTAACTCACTGGTTGAGGTATAAGAACACAACTTAACTCACTGGTTGAGGTACAAGAACACGTCTTAACTCACTGGTTGAGGTATAAGAACACGACTTAACTCACTGGTTGAGGTATAAGAGCACGACTTAACTCACTGGTTGAGGTATAAGAACACAACTTAACTCACTGGTTGAGGTACAAGAACACGTCTTAACTCACTGGTTGAGGTAGAAGGAGAATATAGGTTGGGTGACAGCGCCCTGAACCAACATGGTGTCGAACACTGTGGGGATGCCCATGACTGAGATCTCAGTGAAGGCCATGCCTAAGATACCGTCGAACCTGCCAGCGAGGAAGGATACACCAGGCTCCTCAGTGGCCTCAGCGAAGGTTTGATCCGTGACTGTCACTCCTCCCACGTCCACGGTGTCACTGTAGGAGCGGCTGGGGTCATTACAGAGCCATATAAAGGAATTCAAGGAACTTTGGGAAGCACTTGCCCTTTGCATTTCTTACTAGAACACAAGTGAGTAACGTAATTACTTCCATACTCTGTCAGTTTTACTAGAAATATAAAACTACCTATTGGGAAAGCTTTGTTGATCCAAATCAAATTCGTATAGTCATTTAGCAATTGCCCAAAGATGCTGCGCAATTAAGATGGAGACCGTAAAGGGATTACAGAAAAGAAGAGACATAAATTTGTTGTAAAACAGTCTTTCCTGTATGTTCAAATTATATACACAATTTGGTCACACAGTAATCTCCAATATAATTTTATTGCGCGGAAGACGTGTGGAATTGCAAAAGTAGGGGATTTCACCTTCACTTGACTTACCAAAACATAAAATTGTGAAGGTTTTCCTAGGAAAATGGTTGCAAGAGTAGCGGCTCATCTGGACATAAAATCAATTGGAAAGGAAGTCTCAAACTGCGGATGGGCTGTATGTGGGAAAACTCACCTAGAAAGAAAGCCTCGGAGTGCACCTGAACCATACTCAATGGCAAAATCGGTACCGTTGGGCTTGTAGGTTGAGGAGAGGGTAGAGTCATAGCGGTTGTGCAGCTCTGCAACACCAATATGTTACAATGAGTACTTGGCACTTTCTAGAGATATAATGTATATCTTTGTCAAGTCAACTGCCAGAGTAGCATGTTTAGGAAAATTCTTGGAAATATTGCCTCATTTTTCTAAAGTTTTGTGAGTTATTTAGTGCATAAATAACAATCATTGTTAAGCGATAAACCTATGTGGGTCATTCAGCGGAAGACGTGGCTGAGTCTTGATCATGTGTGTGCCAGGCGCCAGTGTGCTGCCTATCTGTACTCACATAGACGAGAGTTATTTAGTGCAATAATAAATAGAAAGAGGAAAATTAACAACTGCACACTACAGTTGTATCCTGATTTGTTTAACAAATAAAACTCTGGGTGTGACACTACTCACGGCATGCCAGGTTAATGATGCGGCACTGTTCAGATGGCACCCACAGATTGGACGACCCAGTGTCGAAGATCACCTCAAACGTCTGTCCGGGTGTACCAATGTCGATGGGACCGTAGTACTGTGCCTGTTGATGCCGGCGATTCATGCAGGTGGTTGACACAGGTAATGTAGTTGTTGACCATGAGAATGGTGGTGGTATGATTGGTAGTGTTGGTGGCAAGAATGGATATTGGTGATTATAATGTTGGTAGGTCCTTTGGAGGCGATGTAGATGGTAATAGTGGTGATGCAGGTAATAAAGTCAGGTTCAGATATGTCTTGATGCAGATGGTAGTGATAATATAGGTGGTGATAAGGAAGGTGGATAAGATGTGGTTTATTGGTAATGGTAGATGAAGAGGATGGTGACAGCAGGTGGTAAAGACAGCAATAAATCCACAACATCAAACATGTAAACATCTTGCATTTGCGGCTTCAGGCGGGTAACTATAGACAGAGAAGTTGAACTTTTTTTTTTTTATAATTTAAACATAATACATTCTCGAGAATAACTATAATAGACTAGCGAACTCTTCGCCTCATTCGTAATGCAGAAAAGAACTTTTGTTTTCGAGTTACGTGAAATATTTTTGAGGCAGTGTCCATGATTCTGAGTAAGAAATATGAAGACAAACCTTCCTGGTTCCTATTACATCAGAGGATCCAGAGAAAAGACTTAACTGTGTTTCCAGAGATACTCGGAGGAACCAGAGAAAAGACTTAACTGTGTTTCCAGAGATACTCGGAGGAACCAGAGAAAAGACTTAACTGTGTTTCCAGAGATACTCAGAGGAACCAGAGAAAAGACTTAACTGTGTTTCCAGAGATACTCGGAGGAACCAGAGAAAAGACTTAACTGTGTTTCCAGAGATACTCAGAGGAACCAGAGAAAAGACTTAACTGTGTTCCCAGAGTTACTCGGAGGATACAGAGAAAAGACTTAACTGTGTTTCCAGAGATACTCGGAGGAACCAGAGAAAAGACTTAACTGTGTTTCCAGAGATACTCGGAGGAACCAGAGAAAAGACTTAACTGTGTTTCCAGAGATACTCAGAGGAACCAGAGAAAAGACTTAACTGTGTTCCCAGAGTTACTCGGAGGATACAGAGAAAAGACTTAACTGTGTTTCCAGAGATACTCGGAGGAACCAGAGAAAAGACTTAACTGTGTTTCCAGAGTTACTCGTCGATCCTTAAATAAATCGTTTTCTTTCTGACTTATATGATAACTCCAAGTCTAGATAATTAAGACCTTGTCATGAGGTGTTCAGAAACACCCAAGTAAATACACTAACATTTACTACATTTTAGTCAAAAGTGAGCATTTTTGAAGTTTAAAAGCTCAAGGACTGCATAGGAAATGAGTCACGTTAGTTAATGGGGTAACCTGGAGTTTGCCTGGAGAGGGTTTCCGGGGTCACCGCCCCCGCGTCCCGGTCTGAGACCAAGCCTCGTGGTGGGTACAGGGTCTGATCAACCAGGCTGTAACTTCTAACCTGCTCAAGTCTTTAAAACACTTTCATACCTAAAATATGGATTAAATCACCTTATATACACTAAGATACACATACACATCTTGGTGTATGTATCCTGGAAGTTACATACACACGCTGGTGTATGTATACCGGAAGTTACATACGTTGGTGTATGTATACCGGAAGTTACATACACACCTTGGTGTAGGTATACCAGGAGTTACATACACACCTTGGTGTATGTGTACAGGAAGTTACATACACACCTTGGTGTATGTATTACCTGGAGAGAGTTTACCTGGAGAGAGTTTCGGGGGTCAACGCCCCCGCGGCCCGGTCTGTGACCAGGCCTCCTGGTGGATCAGCGCCTGATCAACCAGGCTATTGCTGCTGGCTGCACGCAAACCAACGTACGAGCCACAGCCCGGCTGATCAGGAACTGACTTTAGGTGCTTGTCCAGTGCCAGCTTGAAGACTGCCAGGGGTCTGTTGGTAATCCCCCTTATGTGTGCTGGGAGGCAGTTGAACAGTCTCGGGCCCTTGACACTTATTGTATGGTCTCTTAACGTGCTAGTGACACCCCTGCTTTTCATTGGGGGGATAGTGCATCGTCTGCCAAGTCTTTTGCTTTCGTAGTGAGTGATTTTCGTGTGCAAGTTCGGTACTAGTCCCTCTAGGATTTTCCAGGTGTATATAATCATGTATCTCTCCCTCCTGCGTTCCAGGGAATACAGGTTTAGAAACCTCAAGCGCTCCCAGTAATTGAGGTGTTTTATCTCCGTTATGCGCGCCGTGAAAGTTCTCTGTACATTTTCTAGGTCGGCAATTTCACCTGCCTTGAAAGGTGCTGTTAGAGTTACATACACACCTTGGTGTATGCATACTGGAAGTTACATGCACACCTTGGTGTATGTGTACAGGAAGTTACATACACACCTTGGTGTATGTGTACAGGAAGTTACATACACACCTTGGTGTATGCATACTGGAAGTTACATACACACGCTGGTGTATGTATACCGGAAGTTACATACACACCTTGGTGTATGTATACCGGGAGTTACATACACACTTTGGTGTATGTATACCGGAAGTGACATACACACCTTGATGTATGTGTACCGGGAGTTACATACACACCTTTGTGTATGTATACTGGAAGTTACATACACAAGTTGGTGTATGTATACCGGAAGTTACATACACACCTTGGTGCATGTATACCGGGAGTTACATACACACCTTGGTGTATGTATACAGGAAGTTACATACACACGTTGGTGTATGTATACTGGAAGTAACATACACACGTTGGTGTATGTATACAGGAAGTTACATACACACGTTGGTGTATGTATACCGGAAGTTACATTCACACCTTGGTGTATGTATATGGGGAGTTACATACACACCTTGGTGTATGTATACCGGGAGTTACATACTCAAATTGGTGCATGTATAGCGGAAGTTACATACACACCTTGGTGTATGTATACTGGAAATTACATACACACCTTGGTGTATGTATACTGAAAGTTACATACACACCTTGGTGTATGTATACTGGAAGTAACATACACACGTTGGTATATGTATACAGGAAGTCACATACACACGTTGGTGTATGTATACCGGAAGTTACATACACACCTTGGTGTATGTATACTGGAAGTAACATACACACGTTGGTATATGTATACAGGAAGTCACATACACACGTTGGTGTATGTATACTGGAAGTTACATACACACCTTGGTGTATGTACACTGGAAGTTACGTACACACCTTGGTGTATGTACACCGGAAGATACATACCTTGGTGTATGTATACCGGAAGATACATACACACCTTGGTGTATGCACACCGGAAGTTACATACAAACCTTGATGTATGTATACCGGAACATACATACCTTGGTGTATGTATACCGGAAGACACATACACACCTTGGTGTATGCACACCGGAAGTTACATACAAACCTTGATGTATGTATACCGGAAGATACATGGCTTGATGTATGTATACCAGAAGATACATGGCTTGATGTATGTATACCGGAAGATACATGGCTTGATGTATGTATACCGGAAGATACATGGCTTGATGTATGTATACCGGAAGATACATGGCTTGATGTATGTATACCAGAAGATACATGGCTTGATGCATGTATACCGGAAGATACATGGCTTGATGTATGTATACCGGAAGATACATGGCTTGATGTATGTATACCGGAAGATACATGGCTTGATGTATGTATACCGGAATATACATGGCTTGATGTATGTATACCGGAAGATACATGGCTTGATGTATGATATACCGGAAGATACATGGCTTGATGTATGTATACCGGAAGATACATGGCTTGATGTATGTATACCGGAAGATACATGGCTTGATGTATGTATACCAGAATATACATGGCTTGATGCATGTATACCGGAAGATACATGGCTTGATGTATGTATACCGGAAGATACATGGCTTGATGTATGTATACCGGAAGATACATGGCTTGATGTATGTATACCGAAGATACATGGCTTGATGTATGTATACCGGAAGATACATGGCTTGATGTATGTATACCGGAAGATACATGGCTTGATGTATGTATACCGGAAGATACATGGCTTGATGTATGTATACCGGAAGATACATGGCTTGATGTATGTATACCGGAAGATACATGGCTTGATGTATGTATACCGGAAGATACATGGCTTGATGTATGTATACCGGAAGATACATGGCTTGATGTATGTATACCGAAAGATACATGACTTGTTGTATGTATACCGGAAGATACATGGCTTGATGTATGTATACCGGAAGATACATGGCTTGATGTATGTATACCGGAAGATACATGGCTTGGTGTATGTATACCGGAAGATACATGGCTTGATGTATGTATAACGGAAGATACATGGCTTGATGTATGTATACCGGAAGATACATGGCTTGATGTATGTATACCTGAAGATACATACCTTGGTGTATATATACCGGAAGATACATACCTTGGTGTATGTATACCGGAAGATACATACCTTGGTGTATGTATACCGGAAGATACATACCTTGGTGTATATATACCGGAAGATACATACCTTGGTGTATGTATACCGGAAGATACATACCTTGGTGTATGTATACCGGAAGATACATACCTTGGTGTATATATACCGGAAGATACATACCTTGATGTTATTGTACAGTGCAGCTTCTATGAACTATATTATATAAATACATATTGAACGTTTGTAATTATGTAAGAGCCAAACATTCTATAATTAATGTGGAGTGTCAGCACCACCCTGGTGTTGTCAGCACCACCCTGGTGTTGTCAGCACCACCCTGGTGTTGTCAGCATCACCCTGGTGTTGTCAGCACCACCCTGGTGTTTTCAGCATCACCCTGGTGTTGTCAGCACCACCCTGGTGTTGTCAGCATCGCCCTGGTGTTGTCAGCACCACCCTGGTGTTGTCAGCATCACCTTGGTGTTGTCAGCACCACCCTGGTGTTGTCAGCATCACCCTGGTGTTGACAGCACCACCCTGGTGTTGTCAGCACCACCCTGGTGTTGTCAGCACCACCCTGGTGTTGTCAGCACCACCTTGGTGTTGTCAGCACCACCCTGGTGTTGTCAGCATCACCCTGGTGTTGTCAGCATCACCGTGGTATTGTCAGCATCACCCTGGTGTTGTCAGCATCACCCTGGTGTTGTCAGCATCGCCCTGGTGTTGTCAGCATCACCCTGGTGAGTGTTCTATGGAGAGACAGAGTTAAGACTCACGTCCTGGTAGTCCTCAAGAATGACAATATCGTCCTTGGGGGCGTAGCGTTGGGAAACAAAGATGTGGCTGCGATGTAACTGTTCAGCGGTCCACTTCCTCTGCACTCTCTTCAGCGGTATCCTAGGTAAGCCACAACACAACACATATATCAATGTTGCTCAAGCTATCTGCTTCATTTAAATTGTTTTGTAACACCACTACGTAAAAACATCTTAATGTAAGTCACTCTCTGCTTGAGGTGATAATTGCAAGATCAAAGGGACATAGTCTCTGAGCACTGCTATTTGTTCTTTGATTTCATACACTGCATTTTCTCGTTTATATATATATATATATATATATATATATATATATATATATATATATATATATATATATATATATATATATATATATATATATATATATGAGGACCCCAGAAAGAGGTCGAAATGTACAGATTAATTAACCTCCTGTGTTTGTCTCTATGTTGGTAAATATTGAACATATATTATTTACTTTATTAACACTTCGGCCGTCTCCCACCAAGGTAGGGTGGTCCGAAAAAGAAAAACTTTCATCATTCACTCCATCACTGTCTTAGCAGAGGGATACTTTACACTACAGTTATAAAACTGCAACATTAACTCCCCTCCTTCAGAGTGCAGACACTGTACTTCCCATCTCCAGGACTCAAGTCTGGCCTGCCGGTTTCCCTGAATCCTTTCATAAATGTTACTTTGCTCACACTCCAACAGCACGTCAAGTATTAAAAATCATTTGTCTCCATTCACTTTTACCAAATACGCTCACATATGCTTGCTGGAAGTGCAAGCCCCTCGCACACAAAACCTTCTTTATCCCCTCCCTCCAACCTTTCCTAGGCCGGCCCCTACCCCGCCTGCCCTCCACTACAAATCTATACACTCTAGAAGTCATTCTGTTTCGCTCCATTCTCTCTACGTGTCCGAACCACCTCAACAACCCCTCCTCAGCCCTCTGGACAACAATTTTGGTAATCCCGCACCTCCTCCTAACTTCCAAACTACAAATTCTCTGCATTATTTTCACATCACACATTGCCTCTGACATGACATCTCCACTGCCTCCAGTCTTCTCCTCGTTGCAACATTCACCACTCATGCTTCACACCCACATTGCCCTCAGACATGACATCTCCACTGCCTCCAGCCTTCTCCTCGCTGCAACATTCATCACCCATGCTTCACACCCATATAAGAGTGTTGGTATAACTATACTCTCATACATTCCCCTATTTGCTTCCACGGACAAAGTTCTTTGTCTCCACAGACTCCTAAGTGCACCACTCACCCTTTTCCCATCATCAATTCTATGAGTCACCTCATCTTTCATAGACCCATCTGCTGACACGTCCACTCCCAAATATCTGAATACATTCACCTCCTCCATACTCTCTCCCTCCAATCTGATATTCAATCTTTCATCACCTAATATTTTTGTTATCCTCATCACCTTACTCTTTCGTATATTCACTTTTAACTTTCTTCTTTTACATACACTATAATACTGAACATATATTACTGAACATATATTACTGAACATATATTACTGAACATATATTACTGAACATATATTACTGAACATATATTACTGAACTATATTATTTACTGAACATATATTACTGAACATATATTACTGAACATATATTACTGAACATATATTACTGAACATATATTACTGAACATATATTATTGCCTTGTATCACTGTATCCAGTGTACACAGTGTCCTGTATCACTGTATCCAGTGTACACAGTGTCCTGTATCACTGTATCCAGTGTACACAGTGTCCTGTATCACTGTATCCAGTGTACACAGTGTCCTGTATCACTGTATCCAGTGTACACAGTGTCCTGTATCACTGTATCCAGTGTACACAGTGTCCTGTATCACTGTATCCAGTGTACACAGTGTCCTGTATCACTGTATCCAGTGTACACAGTGTCCTGTATCACTGTATCCAGTGTACACAGTGTCCTGTATCACTGCATCCAGTGTACACAGTGTCCTGTATCACTGCATCCAGTGTACACAGTGTCCTGTATCACTGCATCCAGTGTACACAGTGTCCTGTATCACTGCATCTAGTGTACACAGTGTCCTGTATCACTGTATCCAGTGTACACAGTGTCCTGTATCACTGTATCCAGTGTACACAGTGTCCTGTATCACTGTATCCAGTGTACACAGTGTCCTGTATCACTGCATCCAGTGTACACAGTGTCCTGTATCACTGCATCCAGTGTACACAGTGTCCTGTATCACTGCATCCAGTGTACACAGTGTCCTGTATCACTGCATCCAGTGTACACAGTGTCCTGTATCACTGTATCCAGTGTACACAGTGTCCTGTATCACTGTATCCAGTGTACACAGTGTCCTGTATCACTGTATCCAGTGTACACAGTGTCCTGTATCACTGCATCCAGTGTACACAGTGTCCTGTATCACTGCATCCAGTGTACACAGTGTCCTGTATCACTGCATCCAGTGTACACAGTGTCCTGTATCACTGCATCCAGTGTAAAAAGTGTACTGTATCACTGTATCCAGTGTACACAGTGTCATGTATCTCTGCATCCAGTGTACACAGTGTCTTGTATCACTGTATCCAGTGTACACAGTGTCTTGTATCACTGTATCCAGTGTACACAGTGTCCTGTATCACTGTATCCAGTGTACACAGTGTTCTGTATCACTGCATCCAGTGTACACAGTGTCCTGTATCACTGTATCCAGTGTACACAGTGTCCTGTATCACTGTATCCAGTGTACACAGTGTCCTGTATCACTGTATCCAGTGTACACAGTGTCATGTATCACTGCATCCAGTGTAAACAGTGTCCTGTATCACTGTATCCAGTGTACACAGTGTCCTGTATCACTGTATCCAGTGTGCACAGTGTCCTGTATCACTGTATCCAGTGTACACAGTGTCCTGTATCACTGTATCCAGTGTAAACAGTGTCCTGTATCACTGTATCCAGTGTACACAGTGTCCTGTATCACTGCATCCAGTGTAAACAGTGTCCTGTATCACTGTATCCAATGTACACAGTGTCATGTATCACTGTATCCAATGTACACAGTGTCCTGTATCACTGTATCCAATGTACACAGTGTCATGTATCACTGTATCCAATGTACACAGTGTCCTGTATCACTGTATCCAATGTACACAGTTTCATGTATCACTGTATCCAATGTACACAGTGTCCTGTATCACTGTATCCAGTGTACACAGTGTCATGTATCACTGTATCCAGTGTAAAAAGTGTCCTGTATCACTGTATCCAGTGTAAACAGTGTCCTGTATCACTGTATCCAGTGTACACAGTGTCCTGTATCACGGTATCCAGTGTAAACAGTGTCCTGTATCACTGTATCCAGTGTAAACAGTGTCCTGTATCACTGTATCCAATGTACACAGTGTCCTGTATCACTGTATCCAGTGTAAACAGTGTCCTGTATCACTGTATCCAGTGTACACAGTGTCCTGTATCACTGTATCCAATGTACACAGTGTCCTGTATCACTGTATCCAATGTACACAGTGTTCTGTATCACTGTATCCAGTGTAAACAGTGTCCTGTATCACTGTATCCAGTGTACACAGTGTTCTGTATCACTGTATCCAGTGTAAACAGTGTCCTGTATCACTGTATCCAGTGTAAACAGTGTCCTGTATCACTGTATCCAATGTACACAGTGTCATGTATCACTGTATCCAATGTACACAGTGTCCTGTATCACTGTATCCAATGTACACAGTGTCATGTATCACTGTATCCAATGTACACAGTGTCCTGTATCACTGTATCCAGTGTACACAGTGTCATGTATCACTGTATCCAGTGTAAAAAGTGTCCTGTATCACTGTATCCAGTGTACACAGAGTCCTGTATCACTGTATCCAGTGTACACCGTGTCATGTATCACTGTATCCAGTGTAAACAGTGTCCTGTATCCCTGTATCCAGTGTACACAGTGTCCTGTATCCCTGTATCCAGTGTACACAGTGCCCTGTATCACTGTATCCAATGTACACAATGTTACAGGTCATTCTGTATCACTGTATTCAGTATACACTATGTCCTGTATCACTGTATCCGGTGTACACAATGTCCTGTATCACTGTATCCAGTGTGCACAATGTCCTGTAACACTATATCCAATGTGCACAAAGCCCTGTATCACTGTATCAAGTGTACAGAATGACCTGTATCACTGTATGCAGTGTATGCAATGTCCTGTATGACTGTGTCCAGTGTACAAAATGTCCTATTTCACTGTATCCAGTGTATACAATGTCCACTGTCACTGGATCGTGTACACAATGTCCTATATCACTGTATCCAGTGTACACAGTTTCTGTATCACTGTATCCAGCCTATACAATGTCCTGTATCACTGTATCCAGTGTATACAATGACCTGTATCACTGGATCCAATCAACATAGTCCTGTATCACTGTATTCCAGTGTACACAATGACCTGTATCACTGTATCCAGTGTACACAATGTCCTGTATCACTGTATCCAGTGTACACAATGTCCTGTATCACTGTATCCAGTAAAAACAATAACCTGTACCACTGTATCCAGTGTGCACAATGTCCTGTACCACTGTATCCTGTGTACACGATTAGCTGTATTACTGTAGTCAGTGCACACAATGACCTGCGTCAGTGTATCCAGTGTACACAATAACCTGTTTCACTTACATTGAAGAACAAAGTTCAGGTTTGTTGTACTGTAGCTTGGACCAGGAAACTGCCAATTTAACTGTCAATTTTAACGCTAGGATCCAGGCTCATTTGCCCCTTTCAAATGACAGTTAACAAAGCAGGAAAGGGAAATGAGGGAAGACTAATAGAAGTGAAAGTGTTTCTTTCAATACATGTTTTTTGTCCCCTGACACAGATGTATTCAACCATTACTCAGCGCTGTGCAGCTGTTTTTATAATATCTTTTCCGAAAAGTTTTCTTTTTGATTACCTCCCATTTCTTAGGCTATGCAAGACATTTCTTCATGTATGTAATAACATTCCAACCCAGCTTATTCCATCCTTTACATCCTTCTGTTCTTGTTACAATCCCAATTCCTCGTACAACCTTGTTTCTGCACTTTCTGAGTCCTCTTACCTGTGGATGTCTGCGTCGACCAGGGCAGTCAGGAGCAGTAGGCAGACCAGGACTCTCATGGTGTGCGAGTGTAGGCGCTGGTGTCAGACAAGGAACTCTGTGTGTGAGTGGCTGTTTCCTCGCCTCTAGCACGTCCTTATATACTCAACCTCATGGAACACACACACACACACACACACACACACACACACACACACACATACGTGCCGAGGTGTCAGAGCGGGCACCTGTAACGAGTGGGGCACCACAGGGATCACTCATAGGACCGGTGCTGTTTCTGGTATTTGTGAACGACATGACGGAAGGAATAGACTCCGTAGTGTCCCTATTTGCAGATGATTTGAAGTTGATGAGAAGTCATAAGCTCGGTATATAGTGATAATTACTGGGAAGGTATTCTTCATTATATATATAAGTGATATTTAAGAAGAGATACAATACAATTTTCATTTCTTTATGCGCTACAATTAATGTGGTTTACATATATCAAAACATTGGTAAGCACAAAACAATAAAAAATTAAGCAATGCATTTCAGGAAAACTAACTTTGATGGTTATATGTTACTTAAGATTTAGGAAGACTATTAAGTAGGACTTTTAATGCAGTTAACTACAATCATATCAGTTATAAAAATATGACTTAATATTTCAGGTAACCACAAATACAGCTACATAGATTATCATACATAGCAACGTGTGTAGAGAACCTAGATTACCACATATAGTAACATATGTGTACCGACCTTAGATTATCATACATAGTAACATATGTGTATGGAACATAGATTATCATAAATAGCAATATATGTGTATAGAACCTAGATTATCATACCTGTAGTTTACATGGAGAGAGTTCCGGGGGTCAACGCCCCTGGTGGATCAGAGCCTGATCAACCAGGCTGTTGCTGCTGGCTGGCTGCACGCAAACCAACGTACGAGCCACAGCCCGGCTGGTCAGGAACTGACTTTAGGTGCTTGTCCAGTGCCAGCTTGAAGACTGCCAGGGGTCTGTTGGTAATCCCCCTTATGTGTGCTGGGAGGCAGTTGAACAGTCTCGGGCCCCTGACACTTATTGTATGGTCTCTTAACGTGCTAGTGACACCCCTGCTTTTCATTGGGGGGGGGGGGGTGTTGCATCGTCTGCCAAGTCTTTTGCTATCGTAGTGAATGATTTTCGTGTGCAAGTTCGGTACTAGTCCCTCTAGGATTTTCCAGGTGTATATAATCATGTATCTCTCCCGCCTGCGTTCCAGGGAATACAGGTTCAGGAACCTCAAGCGCTCCCAGTAATTGAGGTGTTTTATCTCCGTTATGCGCGCCGTGAAGGTTCTCTGTACATTTTCTAGGTCAGCAATTTCACTGCCTTGAAAGGTGCTGTTAGTGTGCAGCAATATTCCAGCCTAGATAGAACAAGGACCTGAAGAGTGTCATCATGGCTTGGCCCCCTAGTTTTGAAGGTTCTCATTATCCATCCTGTCATTTTTCTAGCAGATGCGGTTGTCACAATGTTATGGTCCTTGAAGGTGAGATCCTCCGACATAATCACTACCAGGTCTTTGACGTTGGTGTTTCGCTCTATTTTGTGGCCAGAATTTGTTTTGTACTCTGATGAAGATTTAATTTCCTCGTGTTTACCATATCTGAGTAATTGAAATTTCTCATCGTTGAACTTCATATTGTTTTCTGCAGCCCACTGAAAGATTTGGTTGATGTCCGCCTGGAGCCTTGCAGTGTCTGCAATGGAAGACACTGTCATGCAGATTCGGGTGTCATCTGCAAAGGAAGACACGGTGCTGTGGCTGACATCCTTGTCTATGTCAGATATGAGGATGAGGAACAAGATGGGAGCGAGTACTGTGAATTGTGGAACAGAGCTTTTCACCGTAGCTGCCTCGCACTTTACTCTGTTGACTACTACTCTCCGTGTTCTGTTAGTGAGGAAATTATAGATCCATCGACCAACTTTTCCTGTTATTCCTTTAGCACGCATTTTGTGCTCTATTACCCCATGGTCACACTTGTCGAAGGCTTTTGCAAAGTCTGTATATATTACATCTGCATTTTTTTTCTTCTAGTGCAGATATCAAGGACCTTGTTGTAGTGATCCAATAATTGAGAGAGACAGGAGCAACTTGTTCTAAACCCATGTTGCCCTGGGTTGTGTAATTGATTGGTTTTTAGATGGGTGGTGATCTTGCTTCTTAGGACCCTTTCAAAGATTTTTATGATATGGGATGTTAGTGCTATCGGTCTGTAGTTCTTTGCTATTGCTTTACTGCCCCCTTTGTGGAGTGGGGCTATGTCTGTTGTTTTTAGTAACTGTGGGACGACCCCCGTGTCCATGCTCCCTCTCCATAGGACGGTAAAAGCTCTTGATAGGGGCTTCTTGCAGTTCTTCATGAACACGGAGTTCCATGAGTCTGGCCCTGGGGCAGAGTGCATGGGCATGTCATCTATCGCCTGTTCGAAGTCATTTGGCGTCAGGATAACATCAGATAGGCTTGTGTTAACCAAATTCTGTGGCTCTCTCATAAAAATTCATTTTGATCTTCGACTCTCAGTCTGGTTAGCGGCTTGCTAAAAACTGAGTCACATTGGGACTTAAGTAGCTCACTCCTTTCCTTGCTGTCATCCGTGTAAGACCCATCTTGTTTAAGTAGGGGCCCAATACTGGACGTTGTTCTCGACTTCGATTTGGCATAGGAGAAGAGATACTTTGGGTTTCTTTCGATTTCATTTATGGCTTTTAGTTCTTCCCGCGATTCCTGACTCCTATAAGATTCCTTTAGCTTAAGTTCGATACTTGCTATTCCTCTGACCAGTGACTCCCTACGCATTTCAGATATATTGACCTCTTTTAGTCGCTCTGTTATTCTTTTCCGTCGCCTGTGAAGGGAGTGCCTGTCTCTTTCTATTTTTCATCTACTCCTCCTTTTTCTTAGAGGAATAAGCCTTGTGCATACAACGAGTGCCACCGAGTTAATCTGTTCTAGGCATAAGTTGGGGTCTGTGTTGTTTAGTCTATCTTCCCAGCTTATATCATAGCAACATTTGTGTACAGAACCTATATTATCATACATAGTAACATATATGCACCGAACCAAGATTATCATACATAGCAACATATGTGTATAGAACATAGATCATCATACACTGCAACATATGTGTACAGAACCTAGATTATAATACATAGTAACATATGTGTACAGAACCTATATTATCATAAACAGCAACATATGTACACAAAACCTAGATTATCATACAGATCAACATACGTGTACAGAACCTAGATTATCATACATAGCAACATATGTGCACAGAACCTAGATTATGATGCTATGCAAGATATGTGTACAGAACCTGGATTATCATACATAGCATTACATGTATACAGAACCTATTAGATTATTATACATAGCAACGTGTTTACAGAACCTAGATTACCATACATAGCTATATATGTGTATAAAATCTAGATTATCATACACAGCAATATACGTGTAGTGAATTTAAATTATAATACATAGCAACATATGTGTACAGAACCTAGATTATCATACATAGCAACATATGTGTACAGTACTTAGATTGCTATACATAACAATATATGTGTACAGAATCTAGATTATCATACATAGCAACATACGTGTACAGAATCTAGATCATTATACATAACAACTTATGTGAACAGAACTTAGTTTATCATACATAGGAACATATGTGTACAGAACCTATGTTACCATACATAGAAACATATGTGTACAGAACCTAGATTATCATACATAGCAACATATGTGTACAGAACCTAGATTATCATACACAGCAACACATTTGTACAGAACCTAAATTATCATACATAGCAACATATGTGTACAGAACCTAGATTATCATACACAGCAACATATGTGTACAGAACCTAGATTATCATGCATAGCAACATATGTGTACAGAACCTTGATTATCACACACAGCAACATATGTGTACGGAACCTAGATTATCATACATAGCAACATATTTGTACAGAACCTAGATTATCATACTCAGCAACATATGTGTACAGAACCTAAATTATCATACATAGCAACATATGTGTACAGAACATAGTTTATCATACATAGGAACATATGTATACAGAACCTAGATTACCATACATAGCAACTTATGTGTACAGAACCTAGATTATCATTCATAGCAACATATGTGTACAGAACCTAGATTATCACACATAGCAACATATGTGTACAGAACCTAGATTATCATACATAACAACATATATGTACAGAACCTAGATTATCATACATAGCAACATATGTGTACAGAACCTAGATTATCATACATAGCAAAATATGTGTACAGAATCTCGTTTATCATGCATAGCAACATATGTGTACAGAACCTAGATTATCATACACAGCAACGTAAGTGTACAGAACCTAGATTATCATACATAGCAACGTGTGTATAGAGCCTAGATTATCATACATAGCAACATATGTGTACGGAACCTAGATTATCATACACAGCAACATATGTGTATAGAACCTAGATTATGATACATAGCAACATATATGTACAGAACCTAGTTTATTATACATAGGAACATATGTGTATAGAACCTACGTTACCATACATAGCAACATATGCGTACAGAACCTAGATTATCATACGTAGCAACATATATGTACAGAACCTAGATTATCATACACAGCAACATATGTGTACAGAACCTAGGTTATCATACATAGCAACATATGTGTGCAGAACCTAGATTATCATACATAGCAACATATGTATACAGAACCTAGATTATCATACTCAGCAACATATATGTACAGAAACCAGGTTATCATACATAGCAACATATGTGTACAGACCCTAGTTTATTATACATAGGAACTTATGTGTACAGAACCTAGATTATCATACATAGAAACATATGTGTACAGAAACTAGATTATCATACATAGCAACATATGTGTACAGAACTTAGATTATCATACATAGCAACATATGTGTACAGAACCTAGATTATCATACACAGCAACATATATGTACAGAACCTAGATTATCATACATAGCAACATATGTGCACTGAACCTAATTTATCATACATAGGAACATATGTGTACAGAACCTAGATTACCATACACAGCAACA